ATATTTTCCCGTTTACACGTGAATTGGAGTAGCACGGGCGAGTGTTTCATTGTCATCGCTTTAGCAGATATTTGCATGGTGGTGGTGGTGAAAAAACTTTATAGTCCGACAAATTAGTGGTCCGGGCTCAGGTCTTCTATGTAAGGACATCAAGGGCTTGACTCTCCGCCGCTTCACGGGCCTGCTGGACTGCCCAGAGTTGGTCGGCGAGCTTGGAGCTACGTAGAGCGGATTCCCACCTCACCGAAAGAACATCGGGAATAATACGCTTCGCTTTAGCCTCGCATGCCCAGAGCATGTGTGTTAGCGTAGCTTTGTCTGTCTGGCAGACCTTAGAGAAGTTGGTGCTATATATCGGGGTATATTCGGCGACATATTAGGAGATAAGGATAAATGCTCGTTTGCAACTGTCGCCAGGCAACCGCTCGGGCTCTGAATAAATTGTCATGAGGCGAAGGATAGCATTGGCGGGCCAAGTGGAACGCCTTGGTCAGTTCATTGTATCTCGTAAGCGGATCGCAGTCCGCGTACTCTTCAAGAAGGCAATCACCTCCTGCACGGTTTGTTGCATCGCGTGCGGTGGAGTGCGCTACCTTGTTGAGGTTGGAGAAGGGCGGGCAGGCTTCACCCATATGGGCGGGATCCAGATCAAGGTAGCCTGGGAAATATGGCTGGCATGCACCGGTACGTGAAGGGCTTCAGTCGAAAATCTGACCTTTAGCGAAATTTCGTACTGCTGAGCGTCAGTCATTGAGCAGAGTTTGAGTTTCAGGGTCAGTTATAGCCAGAGAAATTGCCATTTCTTGAGATATCTCCGGGTGTCAGGTCTTCATGCTAGCTGCGTGCGTTGTCGTTAATCACAACGATAGCTAAACGCCGCCTGTCCGGATAGCATGCGGTGTCAGTGAAACGCGTGCTTTTATCGTCGCAATAGTTTTTCAGTAGAAGTGTACCTCTGGCTTTTCTGCGACCTAGGTTGTAAATCGGGTTCACGTTTCTTGGAGCCAGGGCAACGTGTATTTTCTCTCTAATTTGCTTAGGTATGCCCACCTTCTCAACATGCTGTCGGTGATATGTGATGCCCAACTCTTGTAATATGTGTGCTCCCGCGTTGGTGAGAGTAAGCCTTTCGAGGTTTGAGATTCGCTGTCCTTCCGCTATTTCATTTATGAATCCCCAGTTGGAGTAACCTCTCAGTGCTGGCAGATTCTGGTAGGCCAAGAGGGACTTTGTATACCTTGCGGATGATGATATTAGTCTTGTTCTTTTCGCCTTTATACCAGTTGTGCATTGAAGCTACGTATGCGATGTGACAAATGACAAAGCAGTGTACCAGTCTAATGAGGCTGGCCTCCTTCAGTGCACCTCTTCTATTTGTGACTCGCTTGATACGTCTGACGGCGTTGGTGACCTTGTTAGAGAGCTTGTTTACAGTCTCACCATTCACCCCGTTGGATTCGATAATCACTCCAAGGACTCGGATGCGTTTAACAATAGGGACGGTGCCCCCACCTGAGGTGTGCAATTGAACCTCTTCATTCGCTCTTGTTTAACGAAACTCTTGGGAGGCCTTCCCTTAAGGGTAGCCCAGTAGAGCAAGAGTTATGACTTTTGGGGAGAACATTGGTCAAGAATATTTGAAATGTAACAGCAAATAATGCTACTGAGTTCAGTAGCGGTCCATATAATCACGATAGCATGTATCTTTGTATGGCGCCTATATAAAGATTTCTCGTCGTAAGCATTTAAAATGTGCTTCTTTGTCACTTTAGGTTTCTATATAAAAAATTCAGCAACCTCGAATTCAGGATTCTTGGGTGCGATACGGCTCTAATAATAAAGATTACTGTATAACCATACAAAGCTTCGTACACCCATGTCGTGCACACACATGATCAGTTAATTACAGCTTTTTCGGGCCAACAGCTTCTTTTTCGCTGCAGTAGCGGCTTTTGTCAGGCCATATATAATTAACGATCACGTAATACTTGACTATAATAACCGAAATGCATATTTAGCTTCGCCCTGTAGGCATATACTATATACCTTGCTACTTAAAAAGCACAATTAAATTCACTCCCCTACTGCGATTTCCGGAACGACGCTTTGCGCAATGCAAGGGGCAGCAGCGGCTTTTGCATATGTGCCACGGTGGCTCATTTTCTCCTCTAGAGAGCCGGATTGATCGCTAGACGATTATAGCAGTTGCAGAAAGAAATATAGCAGCCTATCTAACGAATACTTCCCAAGTTCACATGCAGCGTAGCTTCGCTTTTTTTTTAATATGAAAGTCAGTGTTACTTGACACAAAAATTATTTTTATGCACTTTCTCTTGATTTGTCATGGCATTCTAGAGTAATGCAGGCTGAAATGCTACTGTACAAAAGCAGTTGGGCACCCACCAGCCGAGTGAAGCAGTATTTAGCTTCACTGCTGCTACTTAAATCAGTACGAGCAAAAATTATAACTGATGTTGTACGCGCATATAGTTGGTATGCTGAAGAACAGACGTGACACAGTTTAGATTGCTTGACCAGTTAGAGATAGGTCACCTGCATATCCAGTGTGCGAAGAGAATCTGCAGTCCTTCTAATTAAAGGAAGGGGGGGGGGGTTCAGCCTTCGCGACGCTTCCTCTCTCTGGAAGGTGTACTCAGGTGATTTTTGTGTTTAATTTGGAATTCACAGTAAAGCAGTTAAACCCCTCGCAGCCACCGCTATCTACTGCAACATTCGTTCATTCGTGTGGTTCTTCCAAAGTTCGTGTTCGATAGGTTAACACGCGTTCTTGGGGCGTGCGTTGGTTGATATAAGTGTTTGAAACTGTGTGGTCCAGTACAGACCAAGATTACAGCTGCCGTGACAGGGACGCTGTGGGACTATGGATGCTCTGTGAAAGGTTAGGACAGAGCTGCAAAAGTCAGCACGGTTGGAGGACTTGCACATGACCAATCAGAGCGTGAGCTGGCGGCGAAACCTATAAAGCTCGCCGCACACTCTTACGACACCTACTACAAGAACTGTTGCGAGGGCTCACTACGCTGTAAGTAATCTCATTAAATGACATGAATAGTCATCTGCTGTGCGTTCTGATGACTTTATGCGCACCTACATAGCATTACACATTCTTATTGTTATGTGAATGACAGCAACGTAAAAAACAATTTTTCGGGAGGCGGGATTTCCTCGTGCCTTACGTATGTGTATAAAATCTAAAATCTACAAAAATTGCAAATTCTGAAAAAAGTTTGAATCCCCAAATTCCCTCCCCCAACCGTTGTCCGCGCCAAATTACATTAACAAAGACTTTTCACCAAGCTCTTTGTAATGATTAATATGGTTGAAAACAACCAGTCACCACGCAATTCACACAGTGTAGTGCCTTGATTGGTTTTATTCATCTATCACGTAATATTTTACATTTCAACGCGCTTGCTCGCCATAAATGACGCTTATGTAGTAAAAAAATATTCAAGTTTTAGCATAGCTTTGTGGTGGAGCATGTGCCTGCCTCGCGAAATTCTTGAGCTGAAATCCTGCATGAACCCTGTTTTTGCTTTTGTTTTGTTTTTCTTTTTAATGTACGCGGCAGATGTGATGCATGCCGGCGGACCGCAATTCCGCTGAAATTGGCTGCTGTTTTGCCATGATAACCACTCACGCTGTAAAATAAGAGTTTGTTCCGGTCCTTTCTTCTTCTGTTTGTCGCCGTTCACGATGCTCGCTTGATAATCTATTGAAACTAGCCCAATTACATGACCTGTTTAAGTATGCCAATGCGCGTTATGCATTGTCGAACTGCCATATTTCAGCGGCGGGTCGTAAACCCAAATTGTGAAGTATCTTCCGTATGCATTTCATGACCAACACCACCTGTTGTGCGCGATCAAACAAATGTCGTCTCTTCCACCTAACTAAACAAAAATTCGGCACCCATTTGTTCGTCAAATAGGAATAATTCATAAAGTTCGTTTTTAAGTAAACATTTGTTGGGACGTAGTGAACACGTCAGGGTTGTGTTTTTCCTTTTAGAGGCGAAGCTTCTTACACCGTGGGTCATGCGTCCCGTGCCGTCGTATCTCGTTTAGTCCTGAGAGTGTCCGCTGGATGGCGAGACTTGTATATGAGAACAATAAACATGCTGTGGGGAACTTCACAAAACGATAAAACATGATGCATCGTTCTCTTAATTCTGCAACAGCATGTGTATTGTTTTTCTTCTTTACTGAATCTCACTTCATGACTACGCGTTTGAAAGCACCCCGAGCGATGAAACATGTTCTGATTTAATGCGCCGATATCCACCCGGGTATACCTGCGGGTAAAAGCCTCCATGAGGCTTTGGGTTTCAGGGACAAACATGGAAGCTGAACACGACCGCGATAGAGGTAAGGAAGAGACTGTTGGAGTATAAGTGGCAAAACAGTAGAGATAAAGGGCAGAAATAGTGGGAGAATGAGGTCATTCAGCCAGAAAGGCAGAGAGGTGGAACACAAGTTTCTACTTTTCTGTGTTATAATCGGATGAATTTAATCAAAGTAGATAAGGCATTAGGCCAACATAAAAAGAGACATTTCTTTTCGTTTTTTTTTTTTCTTGCAAGCCTGGTGGCACACATATCACCAGCCCGTTATGAAGGAGAGGCTCATAGCATCCATCCTAAATGTGGTGAAACGATGTGAGATGCTGGTACTCAGAGTGTCCGTCCGTCCGTGCGTCCCATGGTCCATCCATTAGTCCATGCGTCTACCCGTGCGTCTGTCTGTGCATTCGTCCGTCCGTCCGTGCATCTGTATGTCTCTCCGTGCGTCCGTCCATGCGACCATGCGTCCTTCTGCACAGAGCTTCGTTCCATTCGTCATCATTCACCTCGTGGGTATGCTGTGATTTTTTTTTATTTGTTCTCATCTACTTACCACTGTAGCTAGGAACAGTTCTTACCTTCAACTCACTGAAGTAACATCCTAATTATACGTACATTTGTTTTCTTTTTGTTGCAGTTATCATTTGTTTCCAGGAAACGCTTGCTTGCACTGTTACAACATGGTGTCTCCATCGGTCGCCAAAATAATCATCGCTGCGATCACATCTAGCATGTGGATCTGGATGCAAACTTACGTGAAGGTTCAAGTTGCTTTGCACGGACAATCGATACTTATTCCTAAAAACCGGACAGAACCACCAGACCTAACGAACGACACGTATGGAAGGCACGCATACTCAAATCTTACCGTACGTACCACATTTGAGCCCTAATTTTATTTGCAATAGAACGCGACATTGAAGTTTCTAGCAATGTTATTCAAGCATAAGTTGAATGCATCATGCGTCATGTACTCTCATGATGTCCCCACGTAGTATCTGTTCTAATCCATTTATTATGTTCAGATAAACTTTCTGATTCAACTGACCAACCATCCGAGGTATCTCTCTGATATGCGAAAATAGGCAACAGAGACTATTGTGACGAAGGCAAAGCGTATCAGTCCATTCTATCTGCGAAATTTTTTCGCGACCATGTCACTGTTTGTAAATGAGAGCACTCTTCCGTGTAAAAGGTAACAAGTGTGATTGCTAGTATGGAAGCTCATAAGCTTTTCCGACCACATCGACTTACCAAGGACAGTGGCTTTAACTGGGTAAAGAACATTTCCGCACTTTGGTATAAGCGAGATGTCATCGTAGCCACAGGTGCGTGAGTGGACCACACTCATTTTTCATGCTTCGTACTAACATTTCGAAATGCATTTTAATGACACTGCATTCAAACCATCAGAAATTCAGCGTTTCTTTAGTAAGGCTCTTTAAGCGAAGCGGTATTTATTGAAAGACATAACGTGGCTATACAAATGAACATTTCAAACTATTATTGTGCTTCATATAACAGCAGCGCTTCCAAAAGTGACTTATTGAAGCCCCTCTGATACATTGTTGTTCAGCCCAATGCCTGCATTAACATGCCTTTGCGTTTGCAGTTCGTACGTATTATTGTAAACGATATATTTGCGTTTCACCAACAAGGCTGACTTCCTCTTCTTGTTCTCAGAAGATAGAAGCTCGCTTTCAATGAAGCTGAGCTAGCTGATACATTTTTATCGCTGTAGTAGCCTCGTCCTGAAGCTTACGCTTGGACAAATGTATCATGTGGCTTGAAAGAGCACCGCCTATCGGCGGGAGTGCCTCTTTCTAAATTATAAGTGTACCCTCCTAGTGGATGCAATTTATGTTACATATGAGCCTCGCCTTTCTTTTCGCTTTGCACAAGTTTTTGCTGTTCGCCGCGTGAAGGAGACTGGCTGAAGAACAGAACGAGAGATGGTGAAGGTATATTGTGAGATGGTTCTCTCACAAATTCTAAAAAACACAGTTGAAATTTGGATGAGTTGTTGACAGTTTAATTAACGCTTAGTGAGTCTTTCGCTGTGTTTGAGACTAGCTTATTACCTTAAAGACCCCGCCTTTTTTGTGGGTGACGCACCGCGCATAAAGGGTGGTTAGATTTCAATTAGGTTAACATTAGGTGTTGAAGAATGCTGTAGTATTCATTCCAATCACCGACGTCGTCTTGGAAAGGTAGATGATGATGGTGCCGGAGGATAGGTTCTTCTAGTTCAAAGCTTTGGGTAACAGAAAGGCGTAGAAAACGTTGTAGTGTGGATAATTGGCGGCGAAATATAACTAGGTGGTTTTGGGATTATATATGCTTGCGGCCCCTAAAATAAGTAGTCGCTGATTGATTTAAGAGTGCTTTTAAATCTCACGCCACCGTGGTAGTGAGAAGCAAGGACCATTATATTCCTTGTTCTGCTGACTTGAGCCAACGACATAAGCTTGCCCAGGTGGCTCATTCGGTACAGTTCGTCCCTGAAGAGCGACAAGGGTTGCGCCGAATGACCACCTTGCCAATTCGCTGGACGATAGCTGGTGGTGCGTAATTAATGGCAGGTGAAAATATAGGGCGTCAAAGTGAGGTGCTGTCAACAATCGCTGTTTGACCCAGTAGCGGCGCCAGTTGCAGTAGCTCGCACTGGCTACCGCAAAAAACACCGTGCCTGGCGTAAGCTAGATAAGAGAAATAAACGCTCCAGGCAACTTAGCGCACTGTACTATATACTGCTGCAATCGCGCCAATCAAGATAAAGTGCAGAATCACATCGACCAAGCTGCCACCAAAGCTGGAGCCACCTATTATACGTGGTGGGTTGAAGTGTTCCGAGCACTGCAGCGATTTCGTTACCATTGTCAGCCGAGTGTCGCTAAGGATGCAGCATGTATATAGGAAAATACTTCCTATATACTAGAACACAGATATTAGCATACATTCGCATCTGGACAGCTTACGTTTTTTTTTTTTTGTTTCCCTTCAACTAACTTTCTATCTTTGTCAGCAGCACAGTGCCGTTTCAAGAGCGCTATATGCTGTGTGGATATTGTGCAGGATTATGCAGTTTATGGCAGAAAAACGGGATTTCATAACGTCAGGCGAGAATTCCTTATGCCGTGCGTTATAACTTTCGAGACTATACTAAGGCTAGTTAAACGGCAGTCTTTAGTCTTGTGTGGTACATCCATCCGCACACGTAACCTAGGGTTTACCACTGCACAACACAGCTTCTGCTCTTTCACTGTCTCACCAGCGTCATGTCAACAAAAGCAAGAGCAGAGGGCTTGAAAAAACTCGACATAGTTCTCAACAGTAATCCGTACTGCGGCAGCACACGCAACCTTAATACGCCGAAAGTCTTATATGCCTCGTCCAACGTGTAAAGGCAAAATTAAATGGTGGAATGAACGACAGTTAAAAATCACCATCCACTGATGGCGTCGCCATATGACATTATTATAAAGTGAATGCAGCACAATGCGTTACAAAAAAGCATTATTTTGTGAACGCTACAAATATGCCCTGACAGTTCAAACAAATGCCCGTCTGGCCAAGGTTCTTGTAGAGCTTTTTGTCTACACTACCGTAATTTTTTGCAGCAGTGTCTTGTTTTCACAAATTTTTTTTATTTGAAAAAAAATAGATGACAACTACTTGCGTTTTACTCATTTTCTTTTCTTCGAGCCTTCATCGCTTGAAGCGCTAAAATGTTGTTTTGAAACACGCTTTCCGAGATCCTTTTTTTAGCAAGTGTCGTGACTTTCTACAACCGTAGTGCAGCTCTTCTGAGCTGGCCTTGAATGCCGGTAAAAAATATCTCTATTATGAATAAGCGCGAAGCGATTGTGGTCGCAATCACGTCTTGCACATATGTTTTTTATTGTATATACTTTTATGAACATATCGCGTCGCCTGCTGTGAAATGAGTCAGCCGAAAATTGTTGCCGCACACAGCCAACGCTGACAACTGCGGCTGCTTGCAGAAATTTCTCACAGCGAATTTCTTCCAGGAGAAATTCTTTTGTTGTACTCAAATTTGTTCCACTACAGGTGCACAACTAAAACACTTAGTTTAGAAACGCTCACCATACAGGTTTCCATTATTCTTTGAAACTTGCGACATAACAGCTGCTTCCACTTATTAAAGATGTTTGTACCGCTCTCGAGTGATTCAGTCGGCCAAGATAACACGAGATTCTCAGTGCTTACAAGGCCTCCTTGGTGGGTCATGCATATAATTATAGCTCATTGATGTATCACCTGCCGAAGACACTATTTGTCCTCTACATTACAACGGGTGTGTCAAATACATAAAACAGACAAAAGTGAACTAACATTTGCGTCCCTAAATCAATATCCGAATGAGCTTATTAAGACATGTGTACAATTAGTGCGTACATATTATTTGGACCGGTAGCCTACGTGGCTAGTAGCTGGTCCAATGCAGAACATGCACAAAAGTTAGCAACGTACACGATTGGTCATGAAAATGATTGGCCTTATACAGATAGAAATTCAGCAATGTACAATGTACGTATGTGAAGGTGATTACAGTTACCTTGACAAGAAAAAGCAGTTTACATGAAATGTTGAAGATAGCCATAGGTTTTATTTCTAGAGGCGCAGAGTTCCAGGTGACAGCTCTGAAGAATGCTAACAATCGTTCGTCATAAGCATTGTTACAGAAAGGAAGACTTAAGTTGAAGTTACTTGTTCGCCAGGTGTTTGCACGCGGCACGATTGAATATGGAGTTGCGTAGTGCAAGGTTCTTGTAGATTTTTTTGTGAACTAGGGAAGGTATTTTATAAATTGTTAGCGCCATAAATGAGATAATATGAAGATAATTTAATAGAACGGCTGCCAGGTTAATAAATGGGAGAGAAAATTATTATTCTTAAAACACTATTTTGTAACAGCAGCATAGGTCTTGGATAGGTTTTGTTTGTTAAGCCCCGAGCCAAACAGCTATGGAATGAGTTTTGAGTGAAACAGAGTTTGCAACAAAGCCGTTAAGTTAGCACATCAGCATACGCGAGAGTTCCTTCAGATATCCCGCACTTTGGGAATCGGCGTATCGTGAAGGAGGCGGTGATCATGAACGGTAATAATGAATTCGTTTCATTATATGTTATTCATTAGTCACATAAGCTCGTGCCTCTCTATGCAAACATTATGGTTTATCTGGTACGTATACCTGTTCAAGTTACCATGTTACCGCAATACCAGATCGCGTTTACCGTGTTATCACACTGAATTTTTTAGGAAAGATTTAGATTCTATACGGAAACCGTTACGTATACGTACGTAAACTTATAAACCACAACATGCAGACAACTTCATTTGAACTATATTTGATTTAGATAAGGCTGGATTGCCACGGCAGCAAAACCATAAAAAAAGTTTCCTTTAGCGTAAAGTATCCAAATGTACGCCAAGTAGTGTAAAGGTGCAGTGTTATCGGGTGATAGCGTCGATATCTTGTGCCACCAATTTTCACAACCACAGAAATGAATACGCTTTTTTTTTCGCCTAGTGTTTTCGAAGGCAGAAATTGCTAAAAAGACCACTCATTCGTAATTATGACACTACAAGGCAATAAAAACAAAAGTAAAATGCACGATATTTCCGCAATAACAATATTGTGATAACCTAGTCCATCTTAGCCCAGCTAGATGGCGTTACCTATACAGCCTGCTAGGGGCCTTTTACGCTTACGACTTCGCCATGCGAGGTCATCGAGCTTAAGCAATCCTGCTGAAACAATTGAAGCGATCTTTTGCACATCGGCTTATTTTTCCTCGGTGGCTAGAGTGTCCTTAAATTGATATCGCGAATAGCCTCGAAAGAAGGTGGATTTATGAGACAGGGGCGAACAAATTAAGCATATTTGGTGCGCGGTTCACGTTCCGTAAAAGTGTACGTTCCATGAAGGCCCTGCGCCTGCGCAAATTTTTTCAGGTATCTGGAAAAACGTTAACGTAAACGGGTTTACGTACAAGCTACAGGCTTCTTTTATTGTACTCTAAATGAACGAAACGCCTGTGGCATACAAAGCCTAAGGTGGCTTGTTCAATGTTTACGTGATACGTCATCTATGACAGTTAGATTGTCACTAATCATTCGTGCTCGTAATGAGCTGACATCATGCTATGCAAATTTTTACTGTATATAAGCCTAGTTAATCCACCAAGAGAACAAAAAGACACCGGTGACGAGATCCTAACTTGCCGAACATGCATGTCATGATTTATAAATGTGAAGGATTTCTATGCGTACTGCATGCACTTTCAATATCTATCTATATATCTATCTATCTATCGATTCGTCTGAGTGCTCTCGTAAGGACCACCTTTTCTTGAGGTAGACCGAAATTGTTACGGGAGGGTTAGATGGATTGACGGATTTGACTCGCTGGTCATGTATTTAATAATGTCACAGTCCCGTCGCTTACGTCATGAAACCCTATCCGCCAGGCCTGGGGCAGAATTCTGTTGGCGCCTATGTGCCACAGGTACACGGGTATGCGCACAGACTACTGGACAGTTTATATCTACCTAGGAACAAGAAGAACGGAAATGAATAGTTTTATCAAGAGAGTGTTAAAAAAACTGAGATCGGCTACGTTGACCCGACGAATTCAGAGGGTTCGAGCAGGAATCGAACCCCAGAAATCTGCGTGGCAATCAAGTACCCTACCACAAAGCCATACCGCGTCTCTTGACTACTATTTCAAATATATGCTAATGTTTGAATTTTATCTAGCGCAAAGTGAAATACGGAAACAGAAAGGTACAGATGGACAGGACAGAGCGTTTTCAAGACCACCATGTGTCACTTTGCCTCTAATTACTTAGTGCCAAGACAAGTCCACATTTTCAACTGTCATTCGTAAAGCGCAGATTGTGGTTGCAGTTCTGGCTATACATTTTAATAAACATTACACATGTACTCCTATGACATAGCCATCACATGGAGTAGACGTGAACAGAAGTTAGGCTTTATCCACTGAAGTTGGTTCATGTAGCAGTCTCTACGGCTACCATTCCTCGCGAGCACCAGTGTTTCATATCAAATTACTGCTTCTGGGGTAACCAATATACACGTTGTTGTTGGCGTCGTTACGCGGCTGTAAACAGCTGGTTATGTAAAACATAGACAGCTGTTCAACGCAAGTCTGTGCCTGCGTTTGTGTATACTTTTAGCGCCACTTCGTAACGTTTCCCTCAATAAAAAAATTACAACACAGTCACCTTCCATCCTAATGCTTCGCATGAGATCGATTTTCAAGGTACGTAAGATCTGCGAGATTTTTTTTATTATTCTGGCTTCTACTTTACTTGTATTACACTCCCATGTCATGCAATGTCATTGTTCCGTATATGAAGCTAGCGAAAGAATCACTATACAGCACATAGATAGATATGTGGGATTTAACGTCCCAAAACCACCATATGATTATGAGAGACGCCATAGTGGAGGGCTCCGGAAATTTCGACCACCTGGGGTTCTTTAACGTGCACCCAAATATGAGCACACGGGCCTACAACGTATACAGCACATAGATGCGGGTGGCAAAATCATAATTTAAACGGGATGCAAGTCATGTTTTTTTATGATAATTTATTTTCGTCACAGGCTCACTTAATATGAAGCATATTTTAGGATATATGAGATCGATGAAACGAACTCTGAACTGCAGGTGACAAGGTCATGGTTTGTGCTTGATACGCGTCAGAGATTTAATGTTGTGACATGTCATTTTTGCTTGTCATACCCTGACGTCGTGCTATGAATTTTTATTATGCAGTAAACACTCGTTAATTCGATGGAACTCTATGAAACTAGAAAAATGTTCGAACTTATCGGAGCTCGTATTAGCGGGCGGGGGCTAGATTGAGCGTACATCGAGCCATAGTGCACGGACAGAGCTCCATGAAGCCACCCTTGAATTGCTTGTCACGAATGAGGCGTCACTACACGCTTTTCGCAGATTTTATACATTAGTCTCATGGAGCTCTAAGAGAACCATTTTAATTGATGAGCAAATTATGCGTGTCACACAGTACAAGTGATTCACGCCGACCTAAATAAAAGCATAGCGGCATCTTGCAAGTATCCGTTTTAAGCTTCAACATGAGACGCCTCAAAAGCCACCATATAAGTTGCGCATTTCAAAGTTTTTGTTGGCTGCTTGACCCGCGCAGGGTTGCACGTGTAGTGATGTTTATGATAAACGACAAAGTCATAAAGCCCACAGGGGCATTTTACAAGCAACAAATCAGCTTTTAAATAAAACAGCGGGGCAACAGCAAGAAATGCGACGTGAACGAAGATAAAAGACACAAAAAATACGTGTGATAAAAAACAGCCACAAAACAAGCTACGCCTTAAAAAAAACTACACACATATATGCAGACCATGTGCAGTGTTATTATTATATCTGCACGTAATAGAAAATAAAAAAGAACAAATAAAGAAAAACTAGTAGCAAAGTTCGCGTTCCCGCTTCCGGGCGTCTCGTGCGACGCAGTGCAGACTAAGACAATATTTGAAGCTAGGTGTATAAAAATAGCATGAATAATTACCAATACTGAGATTTGCAATAAAGTGTAGCGCTATTTGTATTCAAAAGTACCATTCTATAAAAACTATGAAAAACGAAAAGCCGAGATCGTAAGAACTTGTTCATGCTTATCAAACACAGGCGGCAAGACGACAGCGACCAGAAAGGGCACATCACGAGCGTTTGTGCTGCGCCATTTCTTCACGCTGTAGTCATTGCGCTTGCAGATTGTGAGTGTCAAGAATATTTATTTCCTCTAAAATATGCTCTAGTATCAAGCTCACAAGGCTTTGACATTTACATGATGGCCATGCTGCATTCCCTCTAGAACATCACCATGCATTACGTGACCAAAGGTTGCGAAGATGTCCGAGCAGACCGTCCTATGCTTCTGATGCTGCACGGATTCTTGGATTTCTGGTTCATATGGAATAGACAGATAGCTACGCTTGGGGAGCAATTCTGGTAAGCTTGTAGCTTATAATACCTTTTGCCTTAAATAGGCGACATGTTAAAAAGGTTTGTAAACAAGCAAAATTGAGCAGCATTGAAAAATCACTGGACCTTTTCAAGTTCTTGCTACTACTGCTTGGTTGGTTGATGACCTGCATCCATCGAAGAAAATGTATATATATATATATATATATATATATATATATATATATATATTGTAACGGTAGGATGAGAACGACGAAGAAGACAAAGAGGAGGACGATGTTGTCAGATCTGTGAGCCAACTGGGCGCCATCTTGTCCACCACCGAGTTTATTCCTCGTTTTATAAAGTAAAGTTATTCTCCCGTAACATCATTGGTGGGAGGTGCGGGGTACTCACTTCACGCAAAACGGAGCTTCGTAGCGGGCGCCTAGTGGTCTCCCCCATGGCGACTGCAGTCAACAATGCCGACCCTTCCCCGTCTACCGTGCCTTCTCCAACTACGTCCGTGCTTTCTCCAACTGGACCGTCAACCCTCATCTTGGAGCCCCCGAGAGATCCAGGTACCTTTTCTGGCACTGGTGGCATTGACGTAGAAGCCTGGCTGAAGTCATACGAACGAGTGGGTGTACGTATGCGATGGGATCCAACGCTCATGCTGGCCAACGTGATTTTTTATCTCAGAGGTACCGCAAAGGTCTGGTACGAGACGCACGAGGAAGAACTGACTAGCTGGGAGTTATGCAAGCAAAAGCTCCGGGAGCTATTTGGCAGGCCTGTGGGAAGTCAACGCGCCGCCCAAAACGAGCTCGCACGTCGAGTTCAGACGTGCACCGAATCATACCTCACGTACATTCAGGACGTGCTCGCTTTGTGCCGCAAGGTAGACTCGCAGATGTCCGAAGCCGATAAGGTTGGCCATATTATTAAGGGCATAGCAGATGACGCCTTTCACCTTCTTGTGTTCAAGAATTCATCTACGGTCCACGACATTATTTCTGAATGCCGGCGCTTTGAAGAAGCGAAGAGCCGCCGTGTTCTCCACCAGTTTGCCCGGCTTCCAAACACGGCTGCAACGTCCACATGCGAAGACCCTCGCCTGCCTTCTACGGAAAGTCCCGGTGACGTTGTCCGTATTGTCCGTCGGGAAATAGAAGCCGCAGCTCCACTCGTGTCAGCTTCCCCCAACTCCGAAAGCTATCACGCCACCGTCTCTCTCATACAGACCGTCGTGAGGCAAGAACTGGCCAACGCCGGCTTAAACGTCTGCTCCATTCATCGTCCAGACTACGCCACACCAAATCCACCCGTGACTGTCCCGCCCAACCGACGTTTTTCTGCCAGCCCACATTATCGCGACCCGGCGGTATGGCGCACCCCAGACGACCGGCCGATATGCTTCAATTGCGGTCGTATAGGCCACATTTCGCGTCACTGCCGTGCTTGGTCCAGCTCTGCTCCGTGGCCTCACCCTCCGCCCCATCGCCCACCTGTCTGGAATTCACGCTCATCACCGAAAACAGAGCCGCTAACGCCTGAGAATTCCTCGCGCCCCCGATCCAGCCGCTCCCCTTCGCCACAACGCCGTTTCTCCCGCTCGCCCCCATCTCGCCGATCGCCGTCCCCAAGCTCGTTCCGGCGTTCACCTCCGGAAAACTGACGGGAGCAGCTCTTGGAGGTGATGCTGCAATACCGACCCGATCCCAAAATCCTCTACTGACCTTGCCCGCACATCAGAACCTTATCAATGTTGACGTCGACGGTGTACCTACTACAGCCCTCATTGACACTGGCGCACACGTGTCTATCATGAACGCTGACCTTAGAGCACGGCTGAAGAAAGTCCTTACTCCTGGCCCAACTCCTGTGGTCCGAACGGCCGATGGTGGAAAAGTCGCCGTAATTGGTGTGTGCTCAGCTCGCGTCAGCGTCGCCGGACACCACACATCAGTTCTGTTTTATGTTTTAGAACACTGCCCTAATGACATAATTTTGGGCCAAGACTTTTTGTCTGAACATTCGGCCTTGATAGACTGCTCTGCCGGTATAGTGCAACTCGCTCTACCTAATGTTGTTGATCCTCCAAGTTGCCCTCCAAGTCGGCTTTGTTCTACAGAACACCTGCGTCTCCCTCAACGAACAGTAGCTTACATAGGCGTCTCCCCTGTTCCACCTGTCCCAGACGGTGTTTATATTGTGTCCCCCAATGTTGACGTCCTGCTTTCGCACAACGTTGCGTTTCCTCACACCGTCATCACTATTACGGCCAATGCATCCTGCCTACCCTTAGTGAATTTTTCACTATGTACACAAGTCCTCCCTCGTGGTATATCTCTAGCCGAGATCGTGCCGGCGGCAGAGTGCCATATTTGCACTCTAAGTTATGACAGCATCCCGAGTGCCGAAAAAACTTCGTCTACTCCTCCATCAGACCAAAGTGTGTTAACCAAGATGATTGCCCCCGACTTGCCGAAAGAACAAGCTAACGACCTGCGTTCCCTGCTTGCATCTTTTTGGGACATCTTCGACCTTGGCGACCGCCCACTCGGCCAGACGTCCGTTGTTAAGCACCGGATTGATACAGGCGATACGAGTCCAATCCATCGGAGACCCTACCGTGTTTCCCATGCAGAGCGGCGCATCATCCAACAGGAGGTCGACAAAATGCTTTCTCGGAATATCATCGAGCCTTCATGCAGTCCCTGGGCGTCCCCTGTTGTACTTGTAAAGAAGAAGGACAACAGCTGGAGATTTTGCGTCGATTATCGCCATTTAAACAAAATAACGAAGAAGGACGTCTACCCTTTACCACGCATAGACGATGCCCTGGATTGCCTTCACGGCGCAAAATATTTTTCCTCCATTGATCCTCCGCTCTGGGTACTGGCAGATTGCCGTTGATGACATGGACCGTGAGAAAACGGCGTTTATCACTCCCGACGGCCTTTACGAGTTTAAAGTGATGCCATTCGGTTTATGTAATGCGCCCGCCACATTCGAACGTATGATGGACGCTCTGTTGCACGGCTTCAAGTGGTCCATCTGCCTGTGCTACCTGGACGACGTTATCGTTTTTTCGCCTTCTTTTGCGACGCACCTTGAAAGGCTATCGAAAATCTTATCTGTCTTTCGTAAGGCGGGCCTGCAACTCAATTCGGCAAAGTGCCACTTCGGCCGTCGTGAAATTTCTGTCCTCGGACACCTCGTTGATTCCGTGGGGGTTCGCCCTGATCAAGATAAAATACGCGCAGTAAGAGATTTCCCTGTACCAACCTGTACCAAAGACGTTCGCAGTTTCGTTGGCCTCTGTTCTTACTTCCGCCGCTTTGTTAAAAACTTCGCCGACGTAGCACGCCCTCTCACTCAACTTCTCAAAAAAGACGCTGGCTTCATTTGGGGCCCTGAGCAAGCAGATGCGTTTCAAAATCTAGTGTGTCTGCTTACGTCTCCGCCTATCCTCGCCCACTTTGATATTTCATCTCCAACAGAAGTTCGTACAGACGCAAGTGGCTATGGCATCGGTGCAGTCCTCGCCCAGAAACAACAAGGACGAGACCGTGTTGTTGCTTATGCCAGCCGCCTTCTTTCGCCTGCTGAAAGAAAATATTCAATAACCGAACGGGAATGTTTGGCACTTGTTTGGGCAGTCGGTAAATTTCGTCCCTATTTGTACGGCCGGCCATTCACAGTAATCACAGATCACCACGCCTTGTGCTGGCTTTCGTCCCTTAAAGACCCTTCAGGCCGTCTTGGCCGTTGGGCGCTGCGCCTTCAAGAATTTGATTACTCAGTCCTGTATAAAACCGGCCGCCTGCATCAAGATGCGGACTGCTTGTCCCGGTATCCTGTCGACCCTCCAGACGGCGACTCCTCTAAAACCACCCTTCCTATCGACGTTTTCTCTCTATCCGCGTTTCATGACATTGGAATCGAGCAGCGACGAGATACTTTCTTGGACGGTATTATCCGAAGGCTCACATCGGTGAGGCCCGACCCTTCCCTTCGAATGTTTGAAATACATGATGGTGTATTGTACCGTTGCAATATGCGTCCTGACGGCCCCGAAAGACTACTCGTCGTTCCCATTCAATTGCGTCACACTGTTCTCGCCCAGCTTCATGATGCACCTACAGCGGGTCACCTCGGCGTGTCACGGACCTACGACAGAGTTCGCCGGCGCTTCTTCTGGCCTGGCATGTACCGCGACGTCTGCCGTTATATTGCAGCCTGCGACCCTTGTCAACGACGGAAAAAACCAAATGCCCCTCCGGCCGGACGTCTTCAGCCACTGCACATCCCACAAGACCCATTCTACCGTGTTGGCGTAGACCTGCTTGGCCCTTTTCCTACGTCAGCTGCGGGTAATCGGTGGATTGCAGTAGCAACCGATTATGCTACCCGATACGCGATCACACGGGCCCTTCCAACCAGCTGTGCAACTGACGTGGCCGATTTCCTTTTGGAGGACGTCATCTTACATCATGGCGCCCCTCGACAACTCCTTACCGACCGAGGCAGCTACTTCCTTTCCAAAGTGGTTGATGACCTCCTCCGCTCCTGCGCCACTAAGCACAAGCTCTCGACTGCTTACCATCCACAAACAAATGGTCTAACGGAGCGCCTCAATCGCACTCTCACCGACATGCTCTCCATGTATGTCTCCGCCGATCACCGCGACTGGGACACTACGTTACCGTTTGTAACATTCGCGTACAATTCTTCCAGACACGACACCGCTGGGTTCTCTCCTTTTTTTCTGTTGTTCGGCCGTGACCCTGCGCTACCTTTCGACACCCTCCTGCCGGCCGCACTAAATGACAAGTCTCAGTACGCTCGTGATGCAATAATGAAGGCCCAAGCGGCACGCCAAGTTGCTCGACGACGCTTACTGGACTCCCAGGACAATCAGAAGAGCGTATACGACGCCCGCCATCGTGACGTCCACTTCACACCCGGAGATCTCGTTCTGTTATGGTTCCCCTCGCGCCGCGTTGGACTTTCGGAGAAGTTACTCCCACGCTATTCAGGTCCCTACCGTATCTTACGCCAAGTAACTGACGTCACATACGAAATCACCCCTACGGACCCCGCCATCCTTCACCCTCACACTGACGTAGTGCATGTTACGCGACTCAAACCGTATTACTCCAGTGCCTCCTGATTAGCACCGGGTCGGTGCTCCAGCCGCCGGGGAAATCATGTAACGGTAGGATGAGAACGACGAAGAAGACAAAGAGGAGGACGATGTTGTCAGATCTGTGAGCCAACTGGGCGCCATCTTGTCCACCACCGAGTTTATTCCTCGTTTTATAAAGTAAAGTTATTCTCCCGTAACAATATATATATATATATATATATATATATATATATATATATATATATATATATATATATATATATATATATATATATATAATAGTAATACAACTAAGCTGCTTATGATATAGTTTAAAGCTGCATATCAAACACTTAACTATATGTCTGCAAATGTACGGCTGCCGTAAAAAGTGCCCGTCATATTAAGATCACCATGTATTTCAGAGCCCCTTGCGTCGAAATATTTTTTGTAGCCTGTTTACGAGGATCTTAGATTTCAAGCTTTATTGCATTTTCAAGAGAGAATATAAAAGGTCTTTGTTATATATATATATTGTAATGATGACAAAGCGGCGATCGTGCTCGGCGCATACCTGGGAGAGACGGAAGACGACGAAGAGGAAGCAGATAAAGAACAGCCGGCCTGCAGCAAAGGCGTTGTCTCTTTGTCTTATTTCTCCACGTTTCAATGGCGCAGTCGCGAACTACTGACCCCGATATCCCTGCGTCCACTACACTTCGAAGTGGACGAGTGCTCTCGAACTCCCCACCGATCACGGACGGCGTCCAAGCCTCCACGGCGGCACCGCATCATGACTGCAGCGAGGCCATTTCTCGAGGCTTCTCTCTGTTCGCCCAAGAGCTCAAGACATCCGGGTTTGGCTGCGCCTCTTTTGGATCGTTCAACGAGAACGAAATTCCATATTTTCATGGATTCAAGGATGACCCTACCAACTGGGTAAGCGTGATAAACTCGGTTGCCCTTAAATACTCGTGGAGCGACACGATTAAGAAGTCGGTCGCTGAAGGACGTTTGCGAGGATCTGCCCAAGCGTGGCATCGTTTCCAAGGCAGTACATACGCTACATGGCAAACATGGAGCGCGGCCCTGATGTCCGCGTTTGCGCCGCTTCCGAGCGCTTACGACGACCGTTTCATGACCATGCGGTCACGCCGGCAAGGTGCAACCGAGGACGTCGCGACTTACATCTACGACAAGCTGGACCTTTTACAAGCTTGCGATATACAGTGGACCTCCTCCGCAGCCAGGCAGTACATCATTGACGGGATCCATGACTCGACGCACGCAGCCGTCTTGTCCGCCTACAACCACCCAGTCCACATCTCCACTTTCGTACGCCAGGCAATGGAGTTGCAGGACACGTCTCATCGCCGGGCGGCTCCAGTTGGCCCAAAGGAGCCAGCTTCACCGAGACGCGGATGCTATACGTGTGGCCGCATCGGGCATGGGTATAAAAGCTGCCCACAAAGCCAACCTCAAGCGATGCAATATCAATCACGCCCACTTCCAACCCTCAAGGTCCGCGTCGACGGCATCGGAGAACTGACAGCTCTCGTTGATACCGGAGCTCAACGTACGGCGTTGCTTCGCCACCACGCCTCCGAACCTCTCCAGCCTTGGACTGAGCCACCACTGCGGGGTCTCGGTGGCGACGTACTACCGGTCGGTGCCCTAAACCTGCAACTCAACACCGAGGCCGGCAGCAAGTTTTTGTCCTCGGTGCCCGTCTTCGACGACCTGCCCACAGACATGGTTTTAGGGGCCGACTACCTGCTCTCCGGGGAAGTGCGCCTCACGGTGGAAGGAAGTACCGTCAACCTCCATCCTGTGGCTCCAAGTGTGCCTCCGGCGCAATCCCAAGGTGAGCTGACGACGCCACTTACACTTCCCGCAATACTCGAGAGGCACGCATCGCTCTTCGCTGATACTACTACTCAGCTTCCCGGAACTAGCGTGCTAGTGCACCATATTACTACCGACAATCATCCGCCGGTGTCCATACCGTTACGTAGATATGCCGAACGAGAGCGGATATTAATTGACCAGCAGGTGCAAGAAATGCTTGCCGCAAGCATAATCAGGCCATCTTCTAGCCCGTGGGCAGCACCTGTTGTCCTAGTCCGTAAAAAGGACGGCAATCTCCGATTCTGTGTTGACTACCGAGAGCTGAACAAGCACACCATACCAGACTCGTACCCGCTGCCACGCATTGACGACGCTATTGACGCCGTACGAAAAGCGAGGTTCTTTTCGTCGCTAGATTTAAAAGCAGGGTATTGGCAGATCAACGTGGCTGAAGAAGATAAGTTTAAGACGGCCTTCCGAACACCAGCTTACACATAGCCCGGTGCTCTGCCACTTTAATGAAGATTGGATGACAGAAGTCCATACTGATGCGAGTCAGATTGGCCTGGGGGCGGTTTTACTTCAACGTGACTCGAGTGGGCGTGGGCACGTCATCTGCTACGCCAGTCGTAAACTATCGGACGCAGAACGGCATTATCATTCGAATGAACTGGAGTGTTTGGCTGTAGTATGGAGTGTGGATGAAAAGTTCCGCCACTACTTGTTTGGCCGACACTTCACGGTAGTAACAGACAACTCCGCGATTGCGTGGATGTTCCAGAAGCAGCACCTCAAGCACAAGTTTGCCCGATGGATTGTTCGGCTCCAAGACTATACGTACGACATCCGTCACCGTGCTGGAGCACAAAATCAGCTTGCGGACGCTTTATCGCGAAATCCGATCGAGGAGTTCTCCACACGAAATCGAGAAACCTGGATCCTGTTTTCTCAACAGGACGTGACCAAGGCTCAGCAAGCCGATGGAAGACTCGCATCCGTTATAGACTCCATTGGCGATGCGGGACGCAATGCCAAGTTTGTCTTACGTAATGGAACGCTGTATCGGCGTCACTGGGCCGATAAAAGCACCGAGTGTCATCTCCTGGTCATTCCTGACACCTTAAGATCGAGCGTACTACGCGCCATCCATGACACTCCCGAGGGAGGCCATGTTGGCTACGGAGCCACCTTACGCAAGGCACAAGAACGTTTTTGGTGGCCGAAAATGGATAAAAGCGTGCGTTCATACGTTGCCAGTTGCGAGATTTGTCAGCAACACAAACGACGTCCTGGAGCTCGACATGGACTTCTTACGCCGATCAAGCCTCCAGAGACAATTTTCCACACGTTGGGCATAGATCACATCGGGCCTCTTCCAATGACGACAGCGGGCAATCGTTACATTATACTCGCTGTGGACTACTTGTCCAAGTTCGTAGAGGTCGCGGCCGTGCCTTCGCTTGCTGCTAGCCATGTCATCCGATTCCTGAAAGATCGCTTCGAGTGGCGACACGGTCTTCCTAACAAGTTGATCTCCGACCGGTCGACCACCTTTCGCAGTCGCGAGCTCCGCACTTACCTACAACAAGCTGGAGTGGACCATCACTTCGCGTCGGCATACCATCCGCAGGCGAACGGACTGACCGAAAGGTCGAACCAGACTATCCAGGCTAGACTCGCACCGTACTGTAAGAATCACAAACGAGGTGAGGCCGACTGGGATGATCATCTCCAAGCAGCTGCGTACGCAGTGAACACGGCGGCACACAGCTCCACAGGAATTTGCCCCTACGAGATTGTCTATGGTCAGCTCCCGCAACTGAATGCTACGTTCGGTTTGGACACTCCCGTTAAAGTAGGGCGTTCCGCTGCACGCCAGAGACTTTGTCGCGATATCCGTGTGGAGGCGCGTAGGAGGATTGTGCATGCTCAACAGGCACAAAAGCGATACTACGACCGACGCCACCGTCCCGCGCCGAAATACAGTGTAGGTGATGAGGTGTGGCTACAGCGAGGTGCGCCATCGTCTTCAAACAAACTGCACCCAAAGTACGACGGCCCTTACATTATTTCTGAGCGCTTGGGAGATAACACTTGGCGAGTACGATCCACAGCTTCTGATACGCGCAGAGACAAGAGAAAACGGAATAACTTTGCGGTGCATGTGTCGCGGATGAAGAACTGCATACGGCGGCAAACGTGACATTGGTTTGTGTTTTTCTTACAGGAGTAGACCAGCTGCAGCGTGGCCGAGTGTAATGATGACAAAGCGGCGATCGTGCTCGGCGCATACCTGGGAGAGACGGAAGACGACGAAGAGGAAGCAGATAAAGAACAGCCGGCCTGCAGCAAAGGCGTTGTCTCTTTGTCTTATTTCTCCACGTTTCAATATATATATATATATATATATATATATATATATATATATATATATATATATATATATATATATATATATATATATATATATATATATATATCCCCTAATAAGGTGCAGCTGCATTGACCCGGTGTGTGTTATCCTGTCATTTTGCATAGAGAAAGTTGCAGAATGTACTGCGTCAAGTCACACCAATATCTATTTCAGCATATCTATGAGAAATTTGGACGCACAATTTACTAAGGTTGCAACGAGCGCTGTTTCGTGGAAGGTACCCTTAAGAAACTTCACTCTAAGGGAAAAATTGTATGGTGTTGTTTGCGTACAGCGGGCAGCGTTTTATGATTTCTGTCTGAGCAGGGAAGTTGTCCGGAATTGGAAAATTGCGCTAACCCTACCTTTTCCCCTCCCTGTAGTATTATGCGGAAACATTAAACACTTATTCAGAAAGGCAGGTAACGCAGAGCACGATAAGGCTATAGCTGTTCTGAAAAACCAGACGAATTCAAGTTCCTATCAACCGGGTGCCGTTCTGGCGTCACACTACAGTAAATTGAGGTTTCTATAATAATAATGCTCTGGTCTTTTGTTGTTTTTCGTAACAACAGCATTGTGGCTCCAGATTTGCGTGGCTACGGCCTCACAACGAAGCCTCAAAATCCAGAAGACTACCTGATGACAAAGCTTATCGATGACATAAAGGAGTTTATCGAAGAACTAAGTGAGTAGGAGTTCCGTTGAAAACTTCACATGTTTTAGAGGGCTAAGTTTTTGTTCTACTTAGCCCATTTGACGACTTTCCTCGAGAGGTTTAGTGAAAGGTTGGAGGACGCTTGAGCTACGCCTTCAAGAGTAAGTCGTAGTAGCACAATCGGGCCTTCTGCCAATCGCCTTCTGAACTGCGAACCTACTCCGTTGCTCTGTGCATGCCTCCACCATGCCGTAAGAAAACGGCTGACTGTGCGCATAGGACGTTCACCATCCCAAAGTATCATCGAATTCCTATTGGAAGCACTGCTTTTAAATGCTGACTACGCCATAAATTTTTGTTTTGCGAACCAACACGTAAGCCTACGCAGCTGTTAACATTGTTGATGCTTCTGCTTCTGATAATGATAAAATAGTTCGAAGTGCTTTGTGGTCGTTACACCTTCAAAACAACCATTCGTTGCATTATTCGCATCATTTGGCGACTGATTCTACGCTTCTGCCACGCATTATATCGTGCGTTAAAGAGACTCTTTCGATCACATGAAGGTAATAAGCGTAAACTTAGGTGTTGTTTTTCTTTCTTGGACACAGTATCATTCGCAGTTAACAAGTAATGATAAATACCTATCAAATAAGTCTCAACCAGGCTTAAATGGGCGTAGTTGGATAATTTGGCAACAGCAAACTCGAGGGCATTGAGTGGGCTTCACTGACACGCACTAATCTGCCAAAATTAAAATTCGTCTTGACGCTAATTTTATTTTGTTTAGCTTCATAAGGCTTGACTCCGCAAGCAGTAATTGCTATATCGTAGCTTGGATTTTATGAGCTCATGTAAAATTCAAATTCAATTCTTTTGTGTAATTGGCTTTGATTAGATGAGCCAAGTAGACATAATTGTACTGCGATTGATTAGGCGATGGAAATTCGACCACGCTTATTGACATTAAACTATACTTACTTTTGTGCCACCTAATGAGCCCAGTTATGCATAATTAGTTGTATTTTCACATGAAACACCAGTATGTGTGGTGTGTAAGTTGGGTCATTGGCTAATCAGTCAGGCTTAATTAGCATTTTGTTTTATTAACATTGATTAGACATTAATCTACTAAACGTTGTGGGATCTTTTAGCAGTAGTTTGGATCTATCTCGTTCAATCACCTTCTCCTGTGTGCTTGGTTTCTTGGTGCTCACGGAGAATGCAATGAATTTGTTGGTCACAATTGGGTTTACTTTATTTAAACACTGAACGCTTAGCGTAATTAAGGGATATTATGGTCAAGTATGCCTAGATAGATTTCGCTTACTTCGAGTCATCTAAGCTCAACTTGGCTTAGCATGAGAACAGTAAGAGAAACTAGGCTTAATTAGAATCAGCTTATTTAACCCTTTCTAATATTCACTTTATTGGGTGATACCATGCTGAACAAAGAATGATTAATTTTGACTACAACCATTAAAGTATGCCTGAATAGGCTCAGATAAGTTTAACATAGCTGCATTCAAGAAAGGCAAGCTGGGCTGCAGCCTAATATTGTGTGATTGGCTTCATTGTGCCATACCCTGCTAGCTATTCTTAGTTAGGCTCAAAAAAAAACATCGAAAAAACGAAGCGAGCCCGGTGCCTGAACCAGCCAGCCGCTGCCGGTGAACAAAAAAAGAAACACAGCCCAGATTCGATGGTGCAAAGAAACTAAACATCCAGTCGTTGTTTCGGATGAGCGCCATAACCCTCTAAGACAGAGCGGCATGAGAGGCCACCCGACACAAAGGGACATGGATGCGCACGCAGCAGCCGCCATTTCACTGAATGGCGCATTGATACATTGCGCCACGCAATCTTGTGGTCTCTACTCTTATGTTCACGCCTTTGCACTAGTAGCTACGAACAAAGCGTTGGCCGTCGATAATTTATGAACGTTGAAGTGCGTCGGCCTTTTATAGAGGTGCCATCGCAGATTCTAGGGTTATCACTAGTGGCGATAACCCTAGAATCTCCAAGAATCGCGTTGTGTGCGTAATCTAATCCGAAGATTATCAGGTTATCTAGTTCATCATTATTGTCATCATCACCAGTCTTACAACACCCACTACAGGGCAAAGGCATATGCCATGTTTGTCCTGCGCTTGCTTCTGTAACTTGATAACCTCAAATTTCCTATTCTTACCAGCACACCTAACTTTGGGTCTCTTGGTCACCCACTTGCTTACTTTGGAATCCAGTCAGTTACTTTTTTTGACCAACGGTTACCCTGCCTACGCGCTTCATGCCCAGCCCATGTCCATTTTCTCTTCTTGATTTCAACTATGATATCCTTAACTCAGGTTTGTTCCCCTATCCGCTCAGTTCGCTTCTTGTCTCTTAAGGTTACACTTATTATTTCCCTTTTCATCGCTTGATGCGTCGTCCTCAATTTAAGCTGAAGCCTCTTTGTAAGCCTCCAGGTTTCTGCTCCATAGATAAGTACTGACAAGAGGCAGCTGTTATATACTTTCTTCGTAAAGGTTAGTGGCAGTTTATTTTTCATGATTTGAGAATACTTGCCAAATGTGAACCACCCGATCCTCCATCTTCTAGTTGTTTCACTGTCATGGTTTGGCTCCACTGTTACTATCTCTCCTAAGTAGAGGTACTGTTTTATAACTTCAAGTGCAGTGCTACCTATCTCGAAGCACTGTTATTTTTCGAGGTGGTTGTAAATTGCTTTCGTTTTCTGCACATTAACTTTAGGACCTACCTTTCTGCTCTTCATGTATAATTTGGTATTCACAAATTGCCATTCGTCCCCTGAGTTTTGCCGCAATGCAGTGTTATTGGCTAAGTGCAGGTTAGTAAGGTCCTCTTCAGTAATTCTTATTCCTAACTTTCGCCAAGTTAGACCTCCGAAATACTCATGTGAACACGTGGTAAATAGCAGTGGGGAGATTGTATCCCCTTGTCTTACACTTTTCTTTATTGATATTGTGCCGCTTTCTTAATGGAGTGCTATAGTGGCAGTGGATGCTCTATAGATTCGTCCCAAGACGTTTATATGTGCTTTGCCGACACCTGGATTCCGCAGTGTATGGGTGACTGCTGATATCTCTACTGAATAAAATGCCTTTTCGTAATCTACTAAGGCTGTGTACAGTGGTTGGGTTATTATGAGTGCAATTGGGTGCATTATGAGCATTTTTCTATCACCTGATTGATAGTATGAACATGGTCGATTTTTGAGTAGCCTGTTAGACATCCTGCATAATCATTTGGTTGATTGAATTGCAATGTTGTCTGAATTCACTTAGCAAATACCTTTGAAAATACCTTGCATACAACGGAGATCAAGCTGATTTACCTGTAATTCTTCATGTCCTTGTCGTCTCCTTTATTGTGTAATAAGAATATATTAGCATTCTTCCATGATTCTGGTACACTCCCTGTCAGAAGACACTCCGTTACTGGGTGAATAGTTTCTCTAGCACGATCTGTCCTCAATTTTTGAGCAGATGTGATGTTACCTGAATTCCACCAGCAGCTTTGCGAGTTTGCTTTTCCTTCAAATTTTTTAGTTATTCTTTTATAACTAGTACGATTTCATCTGGGTTACAGCTAGTTGTTACATTACGGTCATGGTTGTTCTGGTTGCTATAGAGATCTCTGTGAATCTTCTCCGCTATTTTACCTATCCTATCTATATCGATGCTTACCAGGGCTGGGCAGAGATATCCTAAAAAGCATACCGGTATACAGATATCGAAATACATGGCTTGAGAGCGTAAAATACCGATACTTAGATATATTTGTAATTGACGTACTAGGATATTTCATAAATATTTTCGCAAAAAGAAGAAAAAGTATTACGGAATACAGATACAGCAATACTGAAAGCACTTTCCTCTTATCGTCGATAGTCATACTCCGTACACACATTTGTAATGTCCAGCATATTACTTGCACTGCGCAGCGCACTGACACTTCGAATTAAATTTATTCATTATATCATCACCGTGCTCCGAGTGTTATTAAGGCATTACAAAGAGGCTTACACTACACGACTCGTTTCAATAACGACTTGTTAAGAAATACCAGTTGCAATAAAAACTATTCTGCATGAGAGAAAGAGTCACACGCATTATACACCGAAATCAGTATACTTGGCGGCAACAGCATAAGCTATGCTAGATATAGCATAGTTCAAGCGAACAAAGAACTAATTGATAAAAGGCATCATTTTGTTTACCATAAACCTGTTTTGTCGAAACATTTGGTGCGTCAATTGCACTTAAACAGCAGTAGCTTCTCAAATAGGCTGTCATATATACATCTACGGTTCGGCGTCAACACAATACTCGCCAACGAGAAAAGTCGCTCGACCATTGCAGAGGAGCGTAAATTTGTTCACTTCGGACTAGTTGGTTTCCAGTTTTGCTAAAGTTGCCTAGCGCGAAGCAGGAGGGGAACACATAAACAATGAAGACGACCGCTTACTTCCAGTTGAAGATTTAGTGTTTCCTATAAACACAGATAAAGCATAAAAAAGAGTGAACGAAACAAGGAATGCGAAAGGAAAAGCAAAAAGACCCCCTTCCAGTCGCCGTGTGGCCATGCTGGTGTATTCCAGAAATGCTTTGGAGAAGTATCGTTGATGGCGCACGGTACCACAAACGAAATTATTTGGCTGGTTTGTGGCTTCCGCGATGAGCTCCGGTTTTAGAGCGAAGCTCCTTATAGTGGCACCCGTTCGTCCCTCGTAGTCGTAGTAGTAGTGTGTAACCAGTCTTACATTTTGACCTCCGAGGTGGTGCCGGTGGGAGATTTCTTCTGTGCGTTGCTGAACAATAAAAAAAATCCCAGCATGCGCGTTAACTAAAAGCCGAATTCTCCTGTCTCTTAGCAGCCATTGGCATGTACATTGAGCTCTATCTGACAAGAAAGGGTTGCTACATTATACTCGCTGGGCATAACCTCTTTGGTTTTAGAAAGGTTTAGCGAGCGTTGGGCCGCAGTGCCATGAATACAGTGAACTA